CAGTTGATACCTGAATGATTCACGATACTGACATTGATACTCATTGCATTAATAAGTATAATCATTGTCCGTTAAACAGTTTCTTCACGATATACAAACGCATATGTGTAGCAATGATAAAGAAAATTGACACAATCTGATAATGATAACATGGACACGAAAAACTAAATATTCTTTCTGCCAGGTGTAGGCGACGATGAAAACGAAGAAAACGTGGAAGAATTAAGGGAGAGACTCAAACAAATGAAAGCCATAGTCAACGAAAGAAGCAATACTAGGAAGTCGGGTGAGTTCATGTCAAGCGTGCATGGGAAACGGGGATGTGCAGGGTTGAGCGATGTTTGGTGCAATATGAGGACAATACTGGTAAGTTTTAACATAGGAAGAGCAATAGGAAATGTAAAATAATTGTATATATGCCCAAGGCTATCCTTTTTATCCTCCTGATACTTGTACGAATAGTTCCTATACATAGCTTTATTTCCTTATAGAGTTACTTTAGATGGCAGTGGCTAATTTAAGTCTGTATATGTGTTGAGAGAGAGAGAGAGAGAGAGAGAGAGAGAGAGAGAGAGAGAGAGAGAGAGAGAGAGCAAAATTCAGTTTCCTGAGTTAGACATCTTCTGACAACAGCGACCTTACTGCAAGCATCGTCTTCCTCTCCAACACCGTAATGACTGGGTGACTAAGATCTAGGCGTCTGCCAATATGATCTCAGCCGGGCCTTAAATCCCGAAGCCCATGCAACCCTTTGGGTTTGAGTTCCACCACCTGAATCTCTGATCTACATTTTGGCCATGGTGGAATACTACTTCAAGGACAGAAAAAAACTGGAATTGAAAACTCCATCTACTTTCCATCCTACAGTATGCTCCTGGTTTTGTCTTTCTCTCACCTGTAGTTCATCTTTCTACACCTCTGGCCTCAGAATTAGATTTCTCCTATCCAGTGCTATGCGAAATATGCCTTCTTCCTATACACTTGTAGTTCTGAGTGAGTCCTTTCACAGCTGTACCTCAAATGAGAGATTGTAGTATAAGCAATTCTTGATTAGTTACTAGAAACACATAGCTGTATAGCACGTATCAACATGTATCCCTTGAAAATGTGGCACTGAATCATTGGTCATGAATATGGCCTGTTTATTGTAATGACTTTAATTCTGCTTACTTAAAATGGAAAAACATAATGTATCAAACTTATTCATCACTGGTCATGAATATGGCCTGTTTATATTAATGACTTTATTTCTGCTTGTTTAAAACGGAAAAATATAATGTATCAAACTTAAATCTTGTTACTTAAAAAAAAAAAAAATGTAGGATATTTCATAATATGCACATATTTTTTGTTTTTACAGGACTGGATGAAGGATTCTTAAGTGTTGTGTTTGCCTGCATACTCCTTGTAATCGCGGGTGTTACAGTGTATGCATTCGTAGTTCTTTATACTGCTGTTCACAAACGTTGGACAGAACAACCAGAAGACTAAGACTGACAAGATGTTTATTCCTTCAAATAACAAATACTCATGAATTCTCAACTTGGGAGCACAAAGTTTCATGATTTTCATGGTTGTTTACATTATTATTTGTGGATTCTTGCATCTATCACAAAACAGCAGGACTCCATATCCTTCAGTACTACATCTTAGGGTTGTTACTACTGAATGGTAAGGATAGAGCAGGAATTGGACAAAAAAGTGACAGAAATGTAATGAAACCAATGCCACTGAATAAAGTCCCCTGGCCTGCTAGATGCAATAAAAAAATTCAGTAACATTTGTGAATGTTCCACTCACATTGCAAAATTTTTACCCTAAGGTCCTGTTGGTACAATATTTTGTTGTCTGACTCAAAAGAATAACATTGAATAAGACAATATAAATGTAAAAAGGTATCAGCATTTGTTACTGTTTTCATGGTTAACTTTTAGTGCACCCAAAATAATAAACAAAATTAAAATCAAAATTGATTTTATAGGTGATGAGTTTTTCTCATTTTTCTTCACATATTTTTGTTTGTGAATATTTACTTCCAGCACAAGTTTTACATTCACACAAAAAAATAAAACTATAGGTATCAAAGGAATATTAAAAAATAGAAACTATTACACACGCCATAAGGCTGTTGTTGGCTGAGACTCAAAAGCAATCACAAATAATTTCATATAACTAATTAGTATTTATAGAATGTCAACAGCCTCTTCTTGTATCTAGTGTGAATTAGCATATATATATTTATACTCAAATGTAATCTTGTAAGTAACCCATGCAGTTTTTTTAAATGATTCTTCCTAGACTCCCAGTTTTCTTTGGATGTTTAGAGTAAAGGGTGACAACATTTCCTGGTTGCGGAAGAATGTAAATGAATTAGTTTTGACTCAAAAAATGGCTGTGCAGCAGATGAAAAGCTGAAAATTAGGTTCCAGTGTTATTTAATATGTGGGCATTTGTGCTTTCATATTTAATAAACAAGAGCAGTATTTCTGATACAGCTTTATTTTTTCAATTTTATTACCCTATGAATGTGGTATATACATTATTAACCCAATGGTGATGGAAGCCTCTTATGGTAAACGAAATGGGTCAACATAACGGCAAAGGCAACTGCTTAAGGGCAAAATCAGAAGCACTGGAAACATCAAATAAACCTCTGTGCTATTGGCTGTGGCATAAACAATGTCTTAGGTTTTGAGGGTATGTTTCTCCTCAACGTTTTCAACCAGTGACAAACAAACACACAACTATTTAGCATGCACAACTTAAACAGCTTCCACCATGAATGACACAAAAAGTTCAGCCCAGCGTGACCAGGTTAATTGGAAGAATTTCCATCCACTTGAAATAAAATTATAAGTGGGTGTATATGAAACCAAGGCAAACATAGAAGCAAGCAGGTAGACAATCTGTCCAGCAATGAAGCAGACAGCTGGGAGAACTGCAATGAGCAAGATCTGATAATCAGATTTTTTTCTACTCATATTTTTTCTTTTTTTTATGCATCAAATACATCTCTTGCAGTGTGATGTTTTTTTATTCATACTCTTCGACAAACACACACATTAACTTGCACCAGTAAATGCATAAAATATGGAGAGCAAATTATATATTATTCTTTAAATGTCAACAAACCAAGAAGAAAGCTTAATGAAAGCTCTAAGATCAACATATTTCAGTGTATTAGTCAAATTGCAAAAATACTCTTTGCAGGTTCAATTACTATCCTTTACAATAATATATCAAAAGATTATATTTATTATCTACTAGTAAATCAGATTTTCTTAACTCATCGGCATTAGGTCTATGTTTAGTCCTTTGTACTTTTTTATTCATTTTGTTGCACACAGATGGCTGCACAGTTACTCTCCCACCAGAGTAGGTTCTAGTGACCATGCCTGAATTCCCCATTCCTTGAATTTGCAGGAAAATATCGTTTTTTTCTAATGTTATTAATATTGATATTTTTTTTAATCATTATTGAAATTAGGATTATTACAATATTTATATACTAATAACAACAAAAATAAAAGGAATGATAATTTTATTTTCTGAAAATCAAGAAAGTTGTCAAATATGTGATATAGGTAGGATTACTATTTGACTCTTTGCTAAATCAGTACTTGTGGATCAATATCCTTGGAAACACAATGAACTAAAATTACAGAGGACATACCATGGATGTCATGCTAATATAGACACTGGTTGATCCTTCCAGTTGTAATTTTCAACAACAACAAAAAATGATTACCAACTAAATTCTGCATTTCTTATTTGTGTTTTTCATTCATGTTAATGCTATCCTTTGCAAACAGCATAATCATTTTTTTCTAACATTGTAGTTCAGTAATTACCAACTCCAGACCATATATGTTTTTAAAGAGTGAAGTATGCTTTAAACTTCTCCCATCAGTACACCCTATAATTGATTACTCATATCATATATTGTTGAGAATATATATATTTTTAAAATTTATCTTCAGATATGCAGTATGTATCTAATGAAGGGATGATGATGGTTAAAATCAGAAAAAATAACTTTAAACATTCAATATATGAAAATTGATTTCTTCATATTTAAATCAAATTGTGTTAAATCAGTACACTAAAGTTGACAGTTCAAATACCATATATGTCTCAAAAAGGAAAATAATGCTGAATTCAGTAAGATATAAATGGAAATATATAGACAAACAATAAAATAAGTTTTCTCCTAATTACTGGCCCATCATCATTTCCACCCTATACATTTTATTACAGCGTATTTTCTCCTCCATAATCCTACAACCTTATATCTACAAGGAACAAGAAAACACATACAAACTTCTGACTAACATTCTTTACAAATTTACAACTATTAACAGTATCCACCGAGTCCAAGGCCAACACATATTAAATGGCATTACACACTTGCATCAGGGTCATTGGGTTATATCCACTGAGCGCCACTAATTCCTTCCGCCCTTCTGCTGAGGCCCCATTCACCGTCTGTAGCCAGTGCCGGTCTACATAGTAGTTTATGACACTCTCCATTTCTAGTTCATTATAGTTGCTGACGGGTATAGGGATGAAAGGGTCAAGTTTCTCCCAGCCCTGGAAAGAATACCCATACATTATTTTCCATTACAGTTTGTTGTAGAAAAAAAAAAATATAATTATGTAATATCTTTTTGGTTAATGGATAGAAATACTGAACTTGTTTAATTACAAATGTAAAAGTCTATTTAAATTAGGAAGAAGCAGGTTAGAAAAGGACAGTTTTTTCAAAAATTATTCTTTACCCCAATCCATGCATTTGGAAAAAAGACATAATGATGATTTGTTTCACCATATTCTCACCACTTATGGAATTATAGAAAACATTTATAAGAAAAGTAGAGAAAAGAAAAAAGAAACATAGAAAAAAATATATATATATATACATACACATCAAAATATACATCTCAATCTCATACTAACCTTTCGTCTCAACAAATATCTTGGTAAATGGGATTCTCGTCTCCCAGCATCATTAGCCAACCCGTCAATTGCACCAACTACAACACCATTTTTCTAAAAGAAAGAAAAAAATCTGTAGCAGTCCCACTTTAAAAATAATGAAAATGATCATTGATGATAGAATGGTGATGAATGATGATGACAATACCACCAAATCTACCACCACCACCAACAGCAACAATAATAATACAGCTACTACTAATAAAACAAAGTAAAATAATAATAATAATAATAATAATAATAAATAATGATACAACAAATAACAATAACAAAACAATAATAATAATAATAATAAATTATAACAAAATAACAATAACAACAACAACAATAATAATTATATAAAATTAATAACACCGATAATGAAAATAACAAAAATACAAAAATAATCAATCAATTATTATAAAAATGAAAAAACAACAATAATAATAATATAATAATTTCAAATAATAATAATAATAATAATAATAATAATAATAATAATAATAATAATAATAATAATAATAATAATGATGATGATGATAATGATGATGATGATGATGAAATACTTACCCAATCACTGTCAAATAACTGACTGAAAGCTTGGTAAAGTGTGAGGTTGTCAGGCTCAACAACCGTGCGATCTTCTCGGCGATAAAAGGAATTTGGACAGTAAAAAGTATTGATGCCATCCACGACTACTGCTACCTTACATCTGGGGGAGGAAAAATTATGAAAATCAGTCTTAAACGGAACAAATAAAGAGGAAATTAAAAGGAATGACATTAAAATAGCAATGATTTCTTATTACTGGAAAAATTATAATGACAACACTATGAAAGTATGATAACAAGAGTTGACCGAGGCAATTACAGATGATGGACAACAGACACTATGAAAATGATCAATATAAACACAACAATCATAATATGGCTAGTTTATTATACAAAGACAGTCACACAGAGACAAAAAGGCAAACCATCTTCATTAGAAGCTGGTAAGTCAAAAATATTGGACTATTTGCATTACAAGTGATAATGAAGTAAGATTACGAAGAGGAACAACAATAAGTCTTCTGTGTTTCAGATGAGTCTAGAATCATTTGTGTTTTCAAGTACACACAATATCCTATAACTTGTCTACCAGAATATGAACAAGCTATAGCATATTTATGTATCTTGGGAGGCTTTTGATATTAGTTACACTGAATACACTTTCAAAACTGACTCCTTGCCACTAGGAGACTACTATATGTACTATGACGACTTTAACTTTCCTAACCGGCAGCAAGGTTATCTCACCATGAAATGATGTGTATAACTCTGACCTAGCAAGGGGTTAACATGAAAAATGGAGGAAATTATACACCATATGGAAACACTGCACTCTAACTTGCTCAATGTTGTCATATATAAAATATATCTCCAAATCTAAAAACCCATCACAAGAAAAGCACCAAACGTTACCTGCCATCTGTAGCATATTTCTTGATTTCTGTTGTAAGAGCCATAATGCAATCAGAAGCATATCTTGCCCTGTTGACTCCTTGCTCAACCAAAGCCATTAGTGGGGATCCAGCTTCTGTTGATTCACGGCGTGTCCAAGTATAAGTCATGGATGTTTCCAGCTGAAGGAAAAACAAGAAAGATTTTTTTAAGTGATTAATCAGATTTAAAAATTTAATCATTTACCCAAAGCATTTAACTTTTAGGGTTTAAGGCAAATATATACATTGCTCTCGTTAAAATATTATTGCTCCATGTAGATAACATTCCAAGAAGCTACAATTAAATCAACTGCAAGTAAATGCAAAAAGTAGAAATTCAAAATAAAATTTACTAGACATTTCTTTTCCTCATTTCTTACCTGAAGTGTCTTCAATAACTCTGAGTTTTGAGATCTAAAATGCTGCAGCCAAAGTGCCGCCTGGAGAGGATGATCAAATCGTCCTGGAACACTTGTGGATGGGACAACCTCCTTGACATCTCTTCGCCACTTTGATGCTGGGGAAGTAATAACAATATGTCTAGATTTACAAATCTATCTACCTTCATATATATATATATATATATATATATATATATATATATATATATATATATATATATATATATATATATATATATATATCAACATCTATGTATATCAATATCTATCTGTCTGCCTGTTCTATATATCTGTCCATCCGTCCATCCATCTGTCTGCATACATACATACATACATATACATACATACATACATACATACATACATATATATATATATATATATATATATATATATATATATATATATATATATATATATATATATATATACTTATCTCTGTGTGCATGTATTGTGTATCAACACATGCATGTAACATAATCATACTTACGAACTGGAAGATGAATAAGTAGCCAGCCGTCTTCTGCCAAGTAATGGAGGATATGGACCAGGGATAAAGTTTTTCCAACACCATCACAACCATCTTAATAATTGTGTTAAGGTTACAAGCAGGTACATATGAAATATTAAGAACTATATATA